ATAATATATATATATATATTTGCTGCTGTTGCTGCTGATGCTGCTGCTGTTGCTGTTGCTGGAAGCTTGCTGTGTCTCCTCCTCTGTGTTGGGATCTGCATGGAGTCTCCCCTTAAGTAGATAGACTGTCTCCTTTAGTGTCTCCTTTATGTGTCTCCTTTATGTGTCTCCTTTATGTGTCTCCTTTTGTGTCTCCTCTTATACAAAATAGGCAAAGGGTCTGATTGGGGTCTACCCCTGAGTATAGACTGTCTCCTAATGTGTCTCCTCCTTATGTGTCTCCTCCTTATGTGTCTCCTCCTTATGTGTCTCTCCCTATGTGTCTCCTTTTTTATACAGACTACGCAGAGGGTCTGACTGGGTTCTGCCCCTGAGTATAGACTGTCCCCTAATGTGTCTCCTTTTGTGTCTCCTTTTTATGTGTCTCTCCCTATGTGTCTCCTTTTTTATACAGACTACGCAAAGGGTCTGACTGGGTTCTGCCCCTGAGTATAGACTGTCCCCTAATGTGTCTCCTTTTGTGTCTCCTTTTGTGTCTCCTTTTTATGTGTCTCCTTTTTTATACAGATTAGGCAAAGGGTCTGATTGGGGTATCCCCCTAAGTATACAGGCATTAGATGGTCGTGTATATCCCTCAGCATTAACAAAGAAACAAGTATCAACAAGAAGAAGAGACACAGAAAATATATGGGGAGAAGAGACAGACGAAGATTCTCTTGCTTCCTTGTTGCTGCAGCAGCAGCAGCAGCCACTGCAGCAGCCACAGCAACAATTTGATCAACAGCAGCAACAAGGACAACAACAGCAGCAACAGCTGCTCCTGCAACAGCAGCCAGGACACGACGAATCATGGATGGTAAGGGCCCCTACCCTATTAGGGGCCCTCTCCTCCTGTAAATGGAGACTTTTTCTTGAGGGCCCCTATGCAGATAAAACCCCCCTTATGCATGCACAAATATTAACTATTGGGTACCATATGATTAGGGTACCTACACATTATTATAAAGTTATTCTTGCTGTTAATAGGAGGGCTAAGGGTAAATGTGCTGGGGGGCCCCCTAGCGGACCACCACCATCACCAGGAGCAGCAGCAGCGTCAGGGGGCCCCACACCTGAAGTGTCTCCTCCTGGTGCTACTGCTGCTGATGGTGGTGGTACTGTCTCCTCTCCTGTAGAGGAGACACCTAGGGATGGAGAAGACGGCAGCAGCAGCAGCAGCAGCCCAACACCTAGCGGCAGTACATTAAGCGGCAGCACCTGGACGGACAGCAGCGGCGGCGGCAGCAGCAGCGACGAGTCTCCTCCTCCTCCCCCTTTTGCTCCTGTTGTCTTAGGCTCCTTTCTTATACCTAATAAGCGTCTCCCTTCCTCTATCTCCTTAGATGGTCTCCGTGTCCCTCTTTCCTTCTTAGAGACTACAGGAGCTGCAGATTTCTCTGTACGTATAAATAAATAAATAAATAAATAAATAAATAAATAAATAAATAAATAAATATATATATATATAT